TCTTCTTTATTCTAGAATTTCAACATTTTTTCCTTTATATTTTTGAAGTCTTTCGTATATCTATATAAAGATTTATTTATACAACGGTTACAACATTCAAATCACAACTAAACATGATTGTAATAGAAAACTAGGCCACAATCATCGAATAACTGAAGAATAATCAGGTCATGGTCAAAGAAAAAATCAATTATGAATCACAAAATAATTGTAGAACAAATTGTTACGCTTCTCTACACGAAGACCTCCACGTGGTCTCAACCACCCTACGTGGCAAACGGTTCGACGGCCCCACGCTGTACACTAACATAAGGCGAAGTTGGTTTGATCCTCAAACGCGGACGACCCATTTTCCCCGTGAAGCGAAGTTGGACCGACCCCTTCACACGCGGACCTCGTGGGAAGAGTCGGTCCAGGATGAAGCGATGAAAAGATCTTAAACAGATCGTGTATTATGCGATTGACAAGACAACTCACTGCTGCCAACCTATTTAGTCAAGTCCAAGACCGCCAGCTAGGCCTTATGGATACAAAAATGGTATTAGCGTTTAAGACTGTGATTGATTGATGTCTATGATAAGAAAGGTGAGCCATTTGGACGAGGCCACGTGCATTATCATCCAATGGTCTTCATTTGTTTTGCCCAAGTATAAAAACTCACACTTAGTGTCATTTAAATGTAATACAAGTTTAGACTCTTAAAACTATAATCTTGCTACCATACCTTCTACGTATTTCTCCCCAAAGCCGACCTCTTTTTATATTGGAGGCTCACGTTTAAAGTTCTCCCACACACATTTAACGATTTCTCCAATTGACTTGATCGTCGGTCAACTCCACCCCTTCGAAGAGGGTCATGTGTGACTAACTGTTTGTCCAAGTGTGTAGGAACCAAGTTTGCGTGGACGTAATAATGTAATAATTAGGTCACAATTAGTGATGACAAAAAAACTCGTCGGCTCGGACGAGGCCCGAGCCGAGCCCTGCTCGGGCTCGGTTCCACTGAGCCAAAGCTCGGGCCGAGTCCCATTTTTTGGCGTCGGCTCGAGCCCGGGCCAACCCAAGTGGCTCGACCAACTCGTGTTTAGGAAAAAAAAAGTAAAAATTAAAAAACTGTTGCAGGCAGTTGATTTCAGCTGCCT